GGTGTTGTTGTCTGTTGCAGTTGCACGCGGATGGCAGGTTGACCAGTTGGATGTCAACAATGCCTTTTTACACGGGGATCTTAAGGATGAGATTTATATGAGGCTCCCACCTGGCTACTCTCATTTGTTCCCTGGGAAAGTATGTCGTTTGCGAAAGTCTTTATACGGGCTCCGTCAGTCTCCCCGAAATTGGTTTGCCAAGCTTCGTCTAGCTTTGCGTCAGTATGGTTTTCGCCAGGCTCATGCAGATCATACTCTATTTGTTCTCTATCGTGGTCCTGATATACTTGTTGTTCTTGTTTATGTGGATGACATTCTTGTTGCAGGCAATAATCCCTCTTTGTGCACTTCGTTTAAGAAGTACTTGGATGCTTGTTTTCAGCTCAAAGATCTTGGACCGGTCTCTTATTTTCTGGGTATAGAGTGTGCTCGATCTTCTACTGGTATGGTGCTTAATCAGCGAAAATACACCTTGGACATTCTTCAGGAGCACAATCTCTCCGGATGCAAGCGTGCCGACACCCCACTGCCCAGCAACCATAATCTAGCCCGTTCTACTAGTGCTGAGCTTCGGGATGCTGCCAAGTATCGTCGTCTTGTTGGCCGTTTGTTGTATTTGACTATCACTCGGCCGGATATCTGTTATGCTGTTCATGCCTTGTCTCAGTTTATGCAGGCTCCACGTCTAGACCATTGGACCGCAGCTCTTCGTGTTCTTCGGTATCTTAAAGGGCATCCAGGACAGGGTATCCTCCTTCGTCGAGATAGTGACCTGACTTTGACGGCCTATTCAGACTCAGATTGGGCTAGTTGTCCGCTCACTCGCCGTTCTGTCACCGGTTATTTTGTCCTTCTTGGTGGGTCCCCTATCTCTTGGCGCACTAAGAAGCAAACTACTGTGTCCCGTTCGTCTGCAGAGGCGGAGTACCGCGCCATGGCTAACGCCTGCGCTGAAATCAGGTGGCTCCGTGGTCTTTTGGCCGCTTTACAGGTTCCTTGTGTTGCTACTCCGCGTTTGTATTGTGATAATAAGTCCGCTCTCTTCATTGCGGCTAATCCGGTATTTCATGAGCGCTCAAAACATATTGATATTGACTGTCATATAGTTCGGGAATGCCTCCAGCGCGCTCATATTGTCACAGCCTATGTTCCTACACGGTTGCAGACAGCAGACATCTTCACGAAGGCGCTCCCCGGTCCTCTTTTCCGTTCTCTTTTGTCCAAATTGGGCATTTTTGATCTCTATGCTCCAACTTGAGGGGGAGTGTTAGCATATATTATGTATATATTATTTTATGTATATTATTTTGTAATATTATGGGCCTATCGTGTTGGGCTTGTAACTTGTATTTATATCCTTCGGTATCAATGAAACAAGCAAGTCATTCAGTTCACCAAATTCTACATTATAAATCCTAAATTCATATTAATCCGTCAATTTATCAGTTTTTATTTTTTTTTTTCGATTTTCGATTTTTTTTATATAAATATATCTTAAATAACAAATTCAAATCAATTCATCCAAATCAAATAAATAATACATAGAACCATTAATTCATTCTATTTCAAAGGATGAAATTAGAAAAGATTTCAAATTAAAAACTAATAATTAACCCTAGATTTTAAATCTAAAAAATGAAACAATGAACGAAAATTAAAATTTAAGAAATAAAAATTACAAAATTGGAAAACTAAGAATAATTGAATATGGAATACGTGCTTCAAAAAAAAAGAATATGGAATACGTGGAGGATGGAGGTCGGCGTGACGGCGTCGTGACGGCGGCGTGCTGGCGTCCTTTCTTCGGCATCCTTTCTTCCACAATTGGGTCTTGCGCTCTTCCGCTTCCTTTCTTCGGTAGTCTGTCGATTCTTTTTTTTTTTTTTTTTTTTTTGTCTTCA